ACCTCATGCTAATAGCTCAATATGTTATCCTGCCACCTAATGTATAATTGAATAAACTAATAGTTCACAAATCAGTATGTCACAAAATTCAGCACTTGTCACAAGTCAGCTGCCACACATCACAGCTTATGAGACAGACACTACTGTGGCTTTGCTCTAAAGATGGTAGCTTAACGTAGCTAAAAAACGGAAGGATATTTTGTCTTCATTCCTACTTTATTTCCTCCATTTACTGATTATCTTCAGAACAAAAAAATAAATAAGAACCCTTCTTCCAGAGGAAGCAATTTCCAGCTAAGAAGATTATCAAAAGGGATGTTGCGCAGTGCCCCAAATAACTGTACCAAACCCGGTCAATGATAAGAATGCAAGCATCAACTTAGAGTTAGGCTATGCTGATTAAAATGGAAGTAGCATAAAGACCATTTCTATTATTAAAACTATCTTCTCCAGTCACTTAGCACTTTCTTAAAAACAACCTGTTTTCCACATTAATCTGACTGGAGACGGAAACAGTGAATTAGAGCGGAATGGTGTCTGCTTTATGAGAGGTCTGAGTTGACAATACAGTGATTGTTGCCTTCATGTATTGTTACACATAATATCTGGGTAGGCAAGTGACCAAGCACTTGAAGTAGCAGATTGGGAACCTTGAGGTTTGAGTTCTTCATGATGTTTATTCCAGAACGCTGCGTGTTAACTAGGACCTCAGCCGCTGGCCTCTGGGCTGGTTCTGCAGCTGACACCACTGCGAGAACATGGGACCTGGGCCACCCTCAGCCTCTGCTGGCAACAAAGGCTAATGTCCAGGGCAGAACCACATCTAAAGCTCGTCCATAATTAACTAAATCTCAACACCACTCATACCTAAAGACATATAAATGCAAACAAAATCCAGAAATCATTTTTACCTATCCAGATAAGCAGTGATTAAAACTCTTGATAATATGAAGTGTGTGTGAGCCTTTGGGTAGACAATAGACTTATATAAATCATTGATAGCGGTAGTAAATGGATCAATCTTTTCAGTGGGTAATTTATCAATGTCTATTCAAATTTTTAAATGCTCATGGTTTCTCCTGGCAGTTGTACTGCTAAAACTTTACCATACAAATTTACTTGCAGATGTATGCCAAGAAAAGGAAGATGTACAGGATGTTTCCTGCAGAATTGGTTGCAACAGCAACAAACTGGAAACCAAGTAAATATTTCTTAATAAGAGTCTGGTTAAAAACATTAAGGGACAGCCATACAATGGAATTATGCAACCATATAATGAATGCGGTCAATCTTGCATGCTGAAGTTACAAAACAACTCTAAGATATAGTATTAAAAAAGAAAAGTGCATAAAAATGACATATTTTTTTCTGTAAGAATAGACAAAAGATTAACACAACTATTTTCCCAATAATATACATATAATCTTTAAAAAATTCACAGTACCTGGGAAGTGGTAGACCATTTTCCCCTTATTTATATTTTTTGATATTAAAAAAAAATTTTTTTAAAGAATGAGGCTGTGTGCACATAAAAGTTGAAAGATGTCTGTGAGAGACTGCATTTTCCAAAAATGGCCAGAGCAATACTGCTGGTTCTATATGTCCTTCTAGAACCATCAGGTGGTGGTTTATTCCCTTCCTCTGGATGGAACTCTGATGGCCTCGACAACTAGAAGTGACACCGTGTGGCTTCTGGGGCTATACACAAAATGGCCGTACAGCTTCTGTCTGGGTTGTGATCTCTTGAGACGCCTGCCCTTGGAACCCAAACATCATGCTGTGAGGAACTGCAACCTACCCCACAGCTCAGTGGTTTTGAGTACACGGAGTCATACAAACATCGCCACTACCTAATTCCACATTTCTGTCAGCCCAGAAAGAAATCCTATTCCACCTACTCCCCTCCTTCCCCCATGCCCTTGCTACCACTAATCATATTTCTTGTCTCTATAGATTTGCCTGTTCTAGACATTTCATATAAATAGAACCATACAATATGTGGCCTCTTGTATCTGGCTTCTTCCACTTAGCATACTGTTTTCAAGGTTCGTCTATGCTGTAACATGTATCTACTTTATTCCTTTTTATGGCTGAATAATGTTCCATTGTATGGATATAACACTGTTTATCCATCTGTCAGTTGATGGACATTTGGGTTGTTTCCACTTTTTGGTGATTAGGAATAATATTGTTGTGAACATTCACACACGTTTTTGTGTGGACATATGCTTTAAAATTTCTTAAAGTTCAAGTACTTTTAAATCACCTAATATTAAATGATATATAATAAATGATACATAATTAAGATATTTCTTACTCATTATAGCAGGTTTCCTAAGAGCAGCAAATCTGTTTCCTCATGGAAATTGAGATGTAACACAGAACACTTAGTAGACCTAGTGATAAAATGGCACTATTTCAAACCTAGATTTTCCACCTTCCATTTAATCAGTCTGAATTAATGAGGCACCACTTTATTGTCTCTAAAAATAACTAGGACTATTATGTGGCCTTCAAAATTCCTTTATGTTCCAAAAGGAAAACTTGTCATTTTAATTTGACATACAGGGAGAGACTTGAGTCTCTTCAGGAATTTGGGGGTTGACTTAAAATGCTTGTGAACACAGTACCTTGTACTATGCTGTGACTTACCTATTCGAGGTCACCTAATACAAGTTCAATAAAAATAGGGCACATTTAAGAAATTATGGATTACATAAAAACTCTCTTATGTGAAAGTCTGGGCTCACATTTAGTCTCCATCAGCAGACTATCATACTAATAAAATCTCTATTGCAAGGTTGTTCTGCCACAGGTACCACTGCCCTTCAAAATGGCCCTACTTTCTTCCCAGGGCCTGCTGCTGGCTTCTCCAGCAAGCCTCATCATGGTCTTTGAGTCTGCCCGTATGCTTCACATAAATTTACTAAAACAACGAGAAGCTTCTTTGGGGCAATTGCTGTAGAGGCCACTCGTAGAGAAGAAAACACACTACTAAGAAAGCGTGGATGTTTTCTCTGATAGAAAATTACAAGTTTCCTTGGTTTCAAGCCTTGGCACCAAGTCTTGGGTTCCTCATTACTGAATAGATCTCTTTTTCCACTTGTCTTTCTCTCAGCCAATGTCCTGGCACATTATCAGAGGGGAAAATAATTAGAAGTGTCTTATAGGGATAAGAAGCACTGGTAGCTTACCAGATGGAGATAATCGTGGATCTTCAAACAAATCCTTGACCCAACAGTAGCACTATTTGTCTTCTTGTTTACACAAACTCTAGTACTGTACACACCTCCCTAAACATGTGCGCACTGAGCGTTACAGTTCCCTCCCTCTTCAGAGGAACACTTTGGTGGCTCTTGGATACACGAGCAGTGACCCAACCGTAGTGAGCCCCAGAAAAGTTTCCAAGAGCTCCCTTCACTTTCTCAGAGTTCTTATGTTGAGACAGGATATAAGGTCCGCCTTATTCTTAGTTCACTCGTGATTCAGGTTATGTGAGTGTGGGGTCGGGAGTGAGAAAGAGCTTTATTATTTTTGTGACTCTTGCTAACTGTAAACATGCCAAAGTACAGATTTGTAGTGAAAAAGCTTCTGACATCTCACCTTTCAGAGGCAACAAGTGTATCACTTTGGTGAGCATTTCTGGTAATGTTTGACGTGTATAATTATTCAGAGGCATTTTTCAAATATATTTGTGAGTATGGTGTTAATTTGTGTTCAACCAGAAGCTGACCCTGAATGAGACAAGGATCGGAAAGGAAGCAATTCATTTGGGAGGTGGGGCAAACAGGAATGGGGTGTGAGGGAGGGAGGGTAAGGCAGCCAATTAAGGGTGGCTACTGTGAGCTGCTAGTGTGGGTGGATGGAGCTTAATCCCACAGTTAAACTCTGAGAAATGGTATAGAACCTGTGATAGATGATTTGAAGGGGATGGGAGCTGGAGCACTTCAACCCCACGTCCCACTGGCTGAGGCTGCCCCCAGTGGATGTTAATTCTGAGCACTTGGAGAAAACCCTGCAGGAAAGAGAGGACGATATTACCAGGTGGAGGGAAGCCAGGCACACACAGAGAAGTGGTATTGCTTGAAATGTGTTCCAGGCACTGTTCTAGGTGCTGGGGACACAGTAGGAAACGAAACAGAGAAAGAGTCCTGCTCTCATGGAACATTTCTTCTTTTGGGGAAATCGCTAATAAATAGGGCAAGTAAACACATGGAGGGTGTTACTGACGAGTACAGTGGAGAAACAGAAGTACTGAGAAGTTCTTCGGAGGACGGAGAAGGGGTTGTTGCAATTAGCAAGAGATCAGGGTAGGCCTCACTGAGGTGACACTCAAGTAGACTCAAAGGAGGGGAGGAGAAGCCCATCACATGGTTATCTGCACAAGGAACGTTCCACGCGGAGGAAGCAGTAAAATCACAAAGGCCCTGAAGTTTTAACAGGGTCACTCCAGCTGCTGAGCTGAGAAGGAACGGAAGAGGAGCCAAGGCAGGGAGCACAGTGAGGGGGCAACGGCAGTATTCCAGGTGGTGACAATGGAGAAGCAGAAGCCTGAGATTCTAGAAGTATTTTTGAAGGTATGCCCTTTTAATGGTCTGACTCAAGACTCCTTCCGGCACAGCTCCAAAAAGCCAAGATGTATTCAACACGAAATAGCTGCTGACCTCAAGGAGGAACCACTGGGATGTCATTCCAGGTAGGCCCAATTCTACTGGGATCCTTCTGGACATGGGCAGGACACAAGGCAGCCATATGGGTAATCGCTGTTAGAAACAGAGCAGAGGTTTGGGTCGAGTCAGTGAAGTCTACGACAGGAAGAAATCTGTCAGTAATAGCCTTCAGCCTGACACATGGAAACAACTTCCCAATGTAAAACCACTCCATTCCACATAGAGCAGAGCAACTCTCCAGGCCTACAGGCTTTCTGGCTGAGCCACTAAGAGCTTATTATGTCAAGACGAAGGCAGATGTGCTTTTTGTGAAATGACTGTAATTAACTCTGAATCTTTCTGTATACTTTATTTTTGCTGGCTAGATTTGTCATCTTGCTGTTAGAACAAGCCTACCACGTGGCCCAGATTTTCCCTTTACCTTGTCATCCCGAGCAGAAGCTTGATTCTACTGCCTGTCTGGGCACATATCGAGTCTGTCAGGATGGTGTCAGACGTCCTGCATTCAATGGTAACCTTGAAAATAACATCTACCACTGCCAGACATTGGTTGAAAGCCTCGGGAACTTCAGGGCATTAAGGGACAATGTAATTTAGTCATGTACGTCCTCAAGTGCAGGGAAATGTCCTGAAACACCGTTTAATTCAGAAGGAAAACAAGGAAAATGGCAAACATGGAGCCATGCCTTGGATCCATTTACTCCCATCTCTGGGTGGGTCTATAAACAGCATTCTACCCAGGACTCATGACTCGCCAATGGTGCTTGACTTTTGGAAATCATAGGTCAGCAACACTCATCTAGGGAGAGCTAATTCCCTACATTGGGCTCTTGACCATCAATACAGGCCCACGAGAATGTTCTTGATAGTCTAAAGTTTTAAAAAGTGTTGGTCTGTGTGATCTGGTGGTATGCTCTTCAGTTCCCGCAGTCCATGGGCTTTACCGCAACAGAGCCTCCTCCATACATACCGACTCAGCCACTGTCTCCTCCCCTTCTGCTTCACGAATGGTGCCCAGTCCAGTCAGGAGGTCAACAAGGAGAGTTTTCTTGAATGTTGTAGCTGAGATAAAAGTCATCTTATCCCAAGGATACAGTAGGTAGAAGGCAGTCTGCAGAATTTATGCCAAACTTCAGTTCTCAAATGACCGTATTTCATTGCTGATTATGAGATAACTGCCTCCTAACCTATAAGCCTCTGCCTGATGTTTAAAACCAGAGCCTGGGAGGGAATATCACTTGGTCTTTCTCCTCGGCTCGGCTCTGCCTGGGCTGTCTGCGGTCTGTCCTCAGAATGCTATGTAGTAATTCTCCATTGTGCTGATGATGTCACTCTGGTCCTCCAGGAGCTCCAGTACCTGCTGCAGCACAGGTTCACTCAGGCCTGGGCTGAGGCTCAGGCGAGCACAGGCCAAGATGTGCAGGAAGTGGCAGCCCTTTTCCATGTCTGCAAGAAAAAGGCAGTTGGCTAAAGATGGACACACCTGTTAGACTCTCCTTTCTCTCTAAACAGAAGCCCTTCTCCACATCTGAATCAAAACCTGCATTGTAAAAAGGTCTCCAGATGATTCTTATGCACACTGAAGTGGATGATGCACTGGTCTAGATTATCAGCAAAAACCAACCAAACAAAAAAACCTGTTCTTGGGCCTGTTTTTATACCACATGGACTCACTGCTCAAGGATTCAGGCCTTCAACTTTCAAGGATTCCCAATGAATATTTTTATATCTATAACAGTGGATTTTTTAGTGCTTGATAATCTTTTTCTCCAATGCAATTACATGTATAAGTGCATGTATTCATACCGAACCCCTAGCTTCCCAGGTGGGAGCCCACTTGAGATGGACAGCTGAGTCGGTTTATAGCAGCCTTCATATTCTTTCCCACAAGGCCTGATTGATTGGGATGGCCATGGTGAAGTGAGTCCTGGCTTTGGCCCATTTTCGTTCCTCTCTGCATAGGCTTCCAAGAAGTCTTGACTGTGATGACTGTGTTCTAGTAACCTCTTACCCTCTACCCAAAACTAAGACCATCTGGTATACAGGAATAAAGGTTCAAGGTTGGCAACCTCTTTCCTAGTTGAAATCAATGATTTAGAGCAGTGGTAGGCACAATGAAGTTGTCAACCATTAGAAGATTGTGAAATTAATTTAGTCAGCTGTGATTAAAATTCTTTTTCTTAACAGGCTAAAATAGAAAATTACAGAATGTACTGCATTATAGGTAGGATGTCTTATTTTGTGAAACTTTATTTCTATATATATATAATTTATTATCTACCTATATAATGTATCATAACGATATATTAGGTTATGATATAACCCTGAGTCAGTCAAACTGCATTACTGAAAACAAACTCTCCCCAATTTTCACTTTAAAGCCCCAGCGCAAGCCATGCCTGGCCTCTCACACTCCACACAGTCACTGAATGTTGTTCTCAGATAAATTTTTTAGGCTCCAGGAAGAGGTATCATGGCGTTGGGCAAAGCATGCTCTGGGAGTTGGTGAACCTTTCAAATCACGGTATTTTCGAGCTTCAGTTTTCTCAACTATGGAGAGGGCGGTGGGGCACCTGTGAGGTCCTTTCCAGCTCTGAGGGTCAGAGACTATCACAGGCAGCCAGCCTGTCCTGTGCTAAAAAAAAAAGACTTGCTAAATTCTGACCTCTAGTGGTTCTGTCATCTCATTATTCCTCCCAATCGGGATTTCTGTTGAAAACTTACCACTGTCACCTGTCTCCACATTTCCAGTTTGTCTCTTCAACACTCATTCAGTAAAGATTTCCTGAACACCTACTATGTGTGTAGCGTTGAGTAAGGAAGAACAGAGATAGTGTAGATGGAGAGTTGACTCTGGGGTCCAACACACCCGAATTCAAGTCCCGGCTCTATGACTAGGGCAAAGTGGTTCACATCTCTCAGTTTTCTCATCTGTAAAGTGGGAACTTCACTGGTGGTCATGTGAGTGACCAGTGGTAGGTGCTTCTTACATGGGGAATTACTATAATTCTACAGTCATAGCTATAACCTAAGATGATACATATCACTTAGTTCTTGCTCTAAAGAAGCTTTAACTTGTCCTGAAAAGAAAGGTTGATGAGAGAGTGGAGAAGAACTCCAACCAAACTGGGCCTGCACATAGCAGAGGTAGCACCAGCGAATTCAGCACCATTCGGCTTTTAATTAGTTTTTGTTGAGGCCAGGATGCTCAGGTTCAGGAAATATGTGGGGCTCTAAGCAGTGATGTTGACAAAGGCCTTAAACTATTTCTTCAGAAAGGCCATTCTGCTAAGTCATCTAGTAAGGCTGTTCACAAAGTGACCTTCCTCTTACACGAGGAGGACTGCTGTTAGTTCTTCTTTAAATATTAGGTAGAATTCACCAGTGAAGCCGTTGGTCTAGGACTTGCCTTTGTTGGGGGATTTTTAATTACCAATTCAATCTCTTTCTAGTTATGGGTCTATTCAGATTTTCTATTTCTTCCTGATTTAGTGTTGGCAGGTTTTGTGTTTCTAGGAATTTGTCCATTTCATCTGGTTATCCAATTTATTGGCATACGGTTGTTCATAATTCTCTTCCAGCCCTTTTTATTTCTGTGGAATCAATACTAATGTCCTCATTTTCATTTGATTTTAATGTCTTTTTTCTTAGTCTATTTGGCCAAAGGTTTGTCCATTTTGTTGATCTTTTCAAATAACCAACTTTTGGTTTCCTTGATTTTCTCTGTTGTTTTTCTATTCTCTATTTCATTTATCTTTGCTCTAATCTTTATTATTTCCTTCTTTCTGATAGCTTTGGATTTACCTCATTCTTTTTCTAGTTCCTTAAATTGTCAGGTTAGTCTGATTTGAGATCTGTTTTTTAAGTATTTATAGCTTTAAAGTTCCCCTAAGCACCACTTTTGCTATGTCCCGTAAGTTTTAGTATGCTGTATTTTTGTTTTCAAGCATCTCTAAGTATTTTCTAATTTCTCCTGTGATTTCTTCTTTGATCTATTGGTTGTTTAAGAATGTATTGCTCATTTTCCACAAATTTGTGAATTTTCCAGTTTTACTTATGTTATTGACTTCTAACTTCATTCTACTCTTGTCAGAGAAGATACTTTGTACGATTATCTACCTTTTCAAATCTACTGAGACTTAGTGGCCTAACATATGGTCTATCCTGGAAAATGTCCCATGTACACTTGAGAATATGTATTCTGTTGTTGGTAGTGTTTTGTACATGTCTGTTAGATCTAGTAGATTTACTGTGTTAATTTCTCTTTTTCCTTCCTTATCTGCTGGTCTGATTGTTCTATCTAAAGTTTCCAACTATTTTTGTAGAACTGTCTTTCTCCTTCCAATTCTGTTTTTGCTTCATATATTTTGATGGTCTGTCATTAAGTACATATATGTTTATAAGTGCTGTATCTTCTTAGTGTATTGAACTTTTGTTAATGTACAACGTTCTTGTCTCTTGTAACCTTTTTGACTTAGTCTATATTGTCTGATAATAGTATAGGTATCCCTGCTCTCTTTTGGTTACTATTTGCATGGGATATCTTTTCCCATTCTTTTACTTTCAATCTGTTTGTATCTTTGGATCTAAACCGTCTCTTGTAGACACATAGAGTTGGATCATGTGTTTTTTATCTCAATTTCTGTCTTTTGATTGGAGAATTTAATCTGTTTACATTTAAAGTAATTACTGATAAGGGGAAACTTCTGTTAGTTATTTTTTTTCTGTCTTATTATTTGAACTTATTCCAGCTTACCATCGATAACATACAGAAACTCTGCTCCTCTGCAGCTCTGTTCCAAGCCCTTTCAGTTAATAATGTCACAAAATTACATTTTTATACATTGTGTGCGAAGAACATAAAACTAGTCATTCTTTTAAATGCACTAATTTCTTAAATTATGTAGAAAACAAAATGTGGAGATACAAACCAAAGTTACAATAATACAAACTTTTAGACTAATACCTGTTATTTTAAAAAATGTATTAATCTCTAAAATTATGTAGAAAACAAAAAGTGGAGTTACAAGACATTGTTACAATAATACTAGCTTTTATAATTGCCCAAATATTTACCTTTACTGAGAACTTTATTTCTTTATATGGCTTTGAGTTGCTATCTAGTGTCTTTTCAATTCATCCTGCTGGACTCCCTTGAGCATTTGTTACAGGGCAGATCGAGTTAAACTCCCTCAGTTTTTGTTTATTGTGGTATGTCTTGATTGCTCCCTCACTTTTGAAGGACAGTTTTGCTGGATATAGAATCTTGGTTTATAGTTTGTTTTCTGTAGCACTTTGACTGCAGCAGCCCACTGCCTCTGGCCTCCAAAGTTTCTGATGAGAAATCTACTGCTAATCTTATTGATGATCTCTTTTGTATATGACAAGTCATTTATCTCTTGCTGCTTTCAAGATTCTCTTTTTGTCTCTGTCTTTCAAAAGTTTGATTATAATGTGTCTTGGTGTAGTCTCTTTGGGTTCATCTTGGGGTTCAATTAACTTCTTGGATATCTATATTCATGTCTTTCATCAAATTTCAGACATTGTTTATTCAAATATTCCCTCTGCCCCTTTCTCTTCATCTTCTGGGACTCCCACAAGGCATTTGCTGGCCTATCTGATGGTGTCCCATTGGTCCCTTAGGCTCTGCTCACTTTTTCTCAACTGTGAGTTTGTTGATTCTTTCTTCTGCCTATTCAAATCTACCTTTGAATCACTTCTACATTCTTCATTTCGGTTATTGTACTTTTTACCTCCAGAATTTTTATTTTGTATGTCCTAAGATAGTTGTTTTAAAGTCTTTGTCTGGTATATCTACCATTCGATCTTTTTCAGGGACAATTTCTGTTTATATACATTTTGTTCCTTTGAATGGGCCATACTTTTCAGTTTCTTTGTATGTCATGTGATTTTTAGTTGAAAACTGGACATTTGGATCTAATAATGAGAATTTAAGATCAGATTCTCTCCATTCCCCAGGAATGTTTTCTGTTTTCCTTTTTGTTCTTGTTGTTGTCTTCATTGTCGTACGCTGTCTCTGTGCCAAAGATCAGCCTGAGGTATAAACTGAGGTCTTTTCGTTTTTTTTTTTCCCTGAGCCTGCACCTTTCTCTGGGCATGTGTCATCACTTTCTAATTTTCTCCCTGTATGCAGTTGCTTTTGAATGCACTAGTCTTTCTTTTCTGGCTCCCCAAAGTGGGGGAGATAAAAGGAGTAAAAAAAAAGGCACCAGTACTTTAAAATCCCCTTAAGACTTCAGCTGTTGGGGGGCTTGCAACAATGGGGTGAGATGCAACAACAATGACCACCCACCTCTTTGCACCTCTGTAATGAGAAGTAGCAATCAATAATCAGAGAACAGACTCTTGATATTTGGAGGACAAGGCTTATTTTGCCCACTCTATCTCCCGCAAGCTGCTCTAGGAATGAGTGCACAGCTGTCTACCACATGGCTGTGGTGGTAGATGGGTAGTTGTTACTAAGGGCTGAAAACTGACTGAAATTAACCCCAATTTACTGTCTAAGCTTTCCCTGGAAGTTTCAAACCTTCAATAGACTTTAGAGTTCCAAAACTGTTATACCAGACAGATTTTTGGTGCTTCCTACTCAGCCATCTTCCTAACAGTTTTATAAAACACCAATTTATTTAATCCTCACAGCAACCTCTCAAGTAGATATTATTATCCCCATTTTGCATATAAAGAAACTGAGGCACAGACTTACCCAAGGTCACACAGCTAAAAAGTGGCAGAGCTGGGGTTCAAACCCAGGCAAGGTGGCCCCAGAGCCCAGCTCTTTATAACAATGCCATGCCGCCCGTCTTAGATAAGCCTGCTATCAGTGCTTTAGGGACCTGAAACAGGCCTCATGTTTACAGTTCTTTTATCACCGTAGTTTTAAACTTTGCTGAAATACTCATAAATGACTAAAAAATTTAAGTTCTCCCACCAGTCATCCTGACAAGGAAAAACTCAATGCTATATTTTGTATGAAAGGTAAGAAACAAACTAAAGATCCAGAAGGAATGGTTAAAAAAATGATGGAATATCTGTTTATACATATAATGGAATACTGTACAACTATTAAAAAGACTGAGATACTTTTATACGTACTGTTGCTGAATGAACTCTGGAAGCCAACATGAGATTTATAATAAAAGGCGTGGAACACTGAGTATTGTATGCTAACCTTTACTTGTGCTTTTTTAAAAAGATAAACTATACAAATATGTTTGTTAAGTACATTTAACAGCTCTAGAAGGATGTAGGAAACTAGTAACAACCACTGCCTTTGCAAAGGGGACACGGAACTTGGGGCTCAGTGCTGGGAGAGTCTGACTTTTCTGAGTGTATGTTTGTACTGTTTGACTTTAATCATGTGCATACATTATGATTCAGAATAATTTTTCTTAATGTCATAGGTATTTCCTATGGAAAGGAGTGGTTACAGTAGATTCCCAGACAGTTCCTATTAGCTGTTTTTATTGGTATTTTCAGTTATTCAAGCTCTAGGATTTGGCTTCTGCGAGTTTAGTATTTCCAGGGAATTGGTTTATGGTTTTGAGAGGCTCCCACTTACAGAATGAGTGACAGAGACTGTCCACCTTGACACACACACTCACCAAAGCAGGAGCTGGCCTGGGGATTAGATGTAAAACCTTTCCCTTTACAGATCCTCAGGTCACCAAGGCTATTTGGTTCTCCTCAGAAATGAAGTGTGAATTCCCTTCATTTGCTTCATCAGGCCCTAGGATTATTCCAATCCCTTCTGTTCCTAATGCAGATAAAATAAGAATCTGGCCAGGTGGCATGGGACTAGAATGAGTGCAGGAATGTTACATGGGGAGCAGCCTCTCATCCCTTCTAAGAAATTCCACATTTCACTGTTCTTAACAGCTCTTTAAATTGTGGATAGAGAGGTTTTTCTCCCAACTAAAGGATATGTGTTTTCATTGTTCTGAATGAAGTGAACAATGGCCAGAAACCTTGCATTAAAATAATAGGTTGCTTTCAGTTTATTTTAAGATCTGGGATCTGACCTCATTGGTTCTTAAAAGTCTAAATAGAGCTGCATACCATAAACACCAGGGCTGGAGACCTGGTCCAGCTCTACCCGGTGACTCAGCCTGGAATAGGTCCAGGCCCCAGGGATGTATGAGCTGAAAAGACTAGAGGTGGACTTTTCTGGAGAGAAAGAAAGCAGGAAGAGGAGATTTGCAGTCATAAACAAGCCTTTCCAATGTTCTTCTAGTGCCAACATATGTTATTAGCATATGTTTGCAAAAGGCAGACATTGAAAAGTCACCTTTAAGACTGATCAGTCTATACAGGATTTAAAGGTAGGACTAATGTTTTCTTCTTTTTCTAACTAGTATGAAAATGGTATCTGCTGTCAGACTATCTACAGTTTGAGTTTCTAACCACTAGGGGACGACCTAACTCCACTAAAACCAACTATTTTCTAAACCATTTCTTTTGCAAATTATCAGGTTTCAAGATGACTGAATTACATTGTCCATAAACCATAATGTCTAGAACCATTCCTCCCAACACTGAAGGGCCTGATGTCAGGAGGAAAATTTCATGTTTGGATTCAAGAACAGGGCGAGAGTAGAACAAGAAATAACACAAATTAGAGAGAATATGAGAACCAGAAGGACATCAATAAGTCCTAGCCTGATGGCTTACCTCACTGCATCAGAATCACCCAAGGAGCTCAGCCATCATACCTCTACCCCATCCCCTCATGAAGCAGAATCAGGGGTGGGACCTGAGCACCATATGTTCAAAAAAGCTCCAAAATTGAATCTTATGTGTAGCCAAGGTCAGAACAACTGTGTGAGGCTAATGCCCACTTTAAAGAGGAGGAACCCAAGGCTCTGATCAGGTTCTTGGTCAGCTACACTTCCAAGTCATTACTGGGGAAATCCCAGTCTCCTGACTCTCTAACCTGTGTTCTCTGGGAGGGAACACTCCCTCCCCCCATGCACCAGGACACACGTGCATCATACCACTTACGATTTGGTTTCTGGCAGTCTTCTTGAATGATACGGTGTATCTTTCTGTGCAGTTCCTTGTCTTCTCTGGTTACCTGATAGGAAAAGCAGTTCAGAGAGAAAATGTTCTTAAGAAACGCAGAGGTTGTGCCATCCAGACTCCCAGGTTAGTATTCAGGATAGTTTCTAAAGATTTCACAACTATCATCACCCCTACATTGACAACGTGATTTTAGTACTTGGCCTACAGTCAAACCAGTTCTGCCCCTCAGCAGCTCACTGCTCTGTAGCTGACCCTTCAGGCATATTCCCTTGGGAGATGGTTTACTAAGGCTACGATTTAAGGAGAAACTGGAATACTTTTAAGGAGCAACTTTCTTCTTAAATATTCATAACACATTCATAAAATTTCTCTTATTTGTTATATTTTTGAGGGAGGTACAAGTGATCAAAGTCTCTGATCTCAATCCCAGGACTCTTTCCTCCGGGCTCTGACATCTGCCTTCTCCTGTCCACAAGGAAAAACAAAAGAAATAAGACTGTAAGGAAAAGCTAGCAAGAATAAACCTAGCCTATCTACTGAAACCCTTTCTGTCTTAGAAGGCAAACCTAACCCAGATCCTTTCTCAACCGGCTCAGATAAGAGCGAAACAGCAACCAAATGGGTCTCTCTTCATGTTCAATAGTAAATCTAATTACAAAACAAAACAAAAATAGAAAGGGAAAAAGAGGAAGGAAAAGCAGAAGAAAAAAAAAAAAAGAAGCATACGAACAAACAGAGCGGGAATGCTTGTTTGATGGGATTTAGTGAATGACCAGATTTAAGAATGGGGATACTGACAATGCCTGCCTTCTCATAAGGTTACTGTGAAGATTAAATGAGGTAATGTGGTGAGTGCTGCTGCAAGCTGGAGCCCTGTAAAAATAGAAGCGTCTACATTACTGTGCTAACGATTTCCCTGAGGCCAGGCCCTGAGGAAAACAGAAACCTACAAGGCCAGGCACTGAGGTGAGAGGGGAGGAGTGAAGTCAGGGAAGGAGGATGTTTCAGCTGAGGAAAAGAGTGCTATTAGCACTTGATTACCCCATTCCAGCTCACACTGATTCACAGGAGGAAGTGCCCCAGCCCGGCCATGCCTCAGCCCTGGACTGCTGCCCAACTTCTGGCTGCTCCTCAGAAAGAGCTGCTTTCTACAGACCCAGGAGGCTAAGCCAGGAGCCTCCTAGGGGAAATGTGACTGGAGTGGGTGGGTGGAAGTGGTGGGGATGGGGGATGGAAGGGCGGTGTTAAGGTGAGGTGCCCATCACAAGTTTCTTCAACCCTACACCTCCCACCAAGCCTTCCCTTCCCATCCCAGGAGGGGATGGACTGCACTCGCCTTTATACAGATTAGAATAACCTTTTCAAAAGTCACTCAAATAGTATTTAAAACATCTTTTAGTTTTTAAAAATGCTTTAAAATAGGGAATCATTGGAATAAATCGACATCGAGAAAATATCCTACATTAAGGAGAGCTTCCTCTCAGGAATCACGCCTTTAGTGAGACTTCTGGGGTTCCTCAGGGTTCTGATCTGTCTCCAGGAGAATCACTTGTGGCTAATGCCACGTCATAAGGAGGCCCAATTTCAGCCTGGCTCCTCCAAGATTAAAGGTAGGCAGTGAGAGGCAAACTTTTAACTCTAGAAGTGGGAGACAAGCAAGCACTTGTATCCTTGGTGAGAGTCTCAGCTGGTACAGATTTGGGCAGCCAAGCAGACTGCGTTGAACAAAAGCTTAGAGGTACATGCCCTTTGCTTCAGCAATTCCTCTTTTAAGGAGTCAATCTTACAGAAATATTTATATAAGTTCACAAAAATAGTTGCGCAAAAATAGCCATAGCAACACTTTGTGAGAGCAAAAGCTGGAAGCACCATAAATGTCCATCAGAGAGAAGGGGTTGAAATATTTATGGCAAGTTCCCATAATATGGAATACCATGCAGGTGTCCAAAATGAGGTAGATTTATAAGTACTAACATGGAAAGATGCTATTTTGGTGTCAAAAAAGTTGCTGAGCATTATTTAAAGAATTATCTCAAGTGTCCTAGCAGATATTTGGCAATGTCTTGAAACAGCCGGGGAGCTGCTACTGGCATCTAGCGGGTGAAGACCAGGCGTGCTGTGCTGCTAAACATCTTACAATGCCAAGGTCAGCCCTCCACAACAAGGAATCATCTGGCCCAGAGTACTGAGGTTTAGAAATCCTTATTTAGAGAATAATCACATTTTTTTGCAAAACCAAAAATGTCAAGCAGCATATATTTATTGTAAAGGCACAGATAAATGTCTAGAAGGATGTTCTGTTGAAAGTGGTACCTTGGAGAAAGATAAGGGCCAATAAATTTCACTCCTTACTTTACGTACCTCCTTAATGATCAGTTTTTCAAAACAGTAAATAGGTGTTCTTAAATAACAAATATATTGGTAATTGAAGTTAAGAAGGAAAAAAATTAAGTTGCAAGTCTCTTACATAGAATAGATTATCAAAACCACCATCTTTCTGGTAAACGAGTCCTTTTTCCTGCAGCAGCTTTATAGCATTCTTAAATATACTATGAATTGCCTTGGTAGTTGTGTCAGTTTTAAAAGCCTCCTGTGGAAAGAAGAAAAGGAAAAAAAAAAAGATGAGAAGAAAAGAAATAAGTCCCATCTTACAGCACCTGACATCAACTCCCTAGACCAACTGGTTTATGAATTCACTCAACAGGCTTTTAATGTGCTGAGTCAAAAAGATCCAGGTACACACCAGCCTAGCAGGATTAGATTTAAGAAAGATTGAGAAGTTTGTGCTAATAGGATCATGCTTGATAACCGTGGTTATGACTTTTTGTTTAATGTGTTTAACTCAATGATACGAAATAGAAAACTCAAAAGGACAATCTTTATTTTTTTATACAGAACTAAAATATTGTATACATATTAGCTCATTTTTTTTTTCCCAATTAAAATTGTGGCTATATACAACCTCTTCCTAAGGACTTCAAGGAATGTTACATATATTGAAATAAGTCAGGGATTCCACCATGTAGAAAGTATTAGTCTTCATATTTTAAATGGATAACAATGGCAGCAAACAGCTGCGTACAGACTTGTCAAAGGGAGGTCCTGGGCTGAAGGTAGACATGGGTCCTAGAGTGAAGAAAGATCATCATATGAAGGAACTTCAGCTGCTGTCAGTTTGCTGTCTTCTCAAGTTCAATATTTCTTCCTTCCCTAAGAGACAAGTTTGCCTAGAGAGGTTACTGGGGCCTTCTAAGTTCTTATTCCCAAGGAAGCTAAGTTTTCAGCTTTGTCCCACCATGGTTAACTATACTGTGCTTCTTGAGTTGGGGACTTTGTATTTCATCTCAGCAACCTCCTCTCTGGCACAGTGGGTGATCAATAAAACATCTGTGTAATCAATGGAAATAAATATGCCATTATAGAGGCTCTATTCTTATTACTCCATTAGGGTGTTTCATTACTAAAATGAAATGGTGAACAACAATTGTCCTTCAAGGTGCGAATCCATTTTTAATGTGACCAAAATTTGTCAAGATATTAAAAAGATCAGAGCACCAAAGAAACATGGCAAAACTTCCAAAAAAACTACTTGAAGGCAAAGTCCTACCTCCAATAAAAGGTACTTATGAAGGCTGTCCGAGGCAGCACCCAGAGATGCTGAGAAAGAGTGTGCTTGAGATTTGCTGATGACTCTTCCTCAAAGTGATTCAGAAGAGGAAAGGAACTCCCGAATGGCCTCAAGGGTTGACAATTCCATCCCTAAAGAAATCTCTTTCTAGAAGAGGCCTCCCAAACAACAAGCACTGTTTTAATCTAATAGATCCTGGCGATGTTTCACAAACATGCTTTCCTGGGCTGAAGAGGAGCGTCTAATACTCTTAATTAAATTAATAGTCCTAAGTTTTTCCCTAACAGAACAAGTTGAAGAACCTGGCCATTAGAACATTAGGGCCTAAAGGCTGACCAACAGTCCAGGGTGTGACAGCATCCATTCTCTGAAGGGAGAATAAGGCCATGAAGTATGACACTCGTGGACAGAAATGCGATCTGGGTGTGTTTAGAATAAAGACCCCACCTAGCAATCCTGAGCAATGCATTTTTTAATTTGGGGAGCGGGGAGGAGGTGGGGACCTTCAGGCAAAGCTGTTTTTAATTTCACATATGAGTGCTCTCACTTAGAGGAAACACGACCCAATATAGGCTGCCCTACACAACTTTATAACTACTTAATATGTATAATTTTAAGGAGATTTGTGCTCTTTAGTCAATTTAATATAAGGATCCTAAGGGTCAAGTTTATTACATCTTACCAAGACAGAACTAAGTCGGAAACTAACTAGAAATGTTAGTTTAAAAATGACTATTGGTTCTCCCCAGACCATGTATAAAACCCGGTTCTTCCTTCCAGATTTTAGTTAAGGTCTAGCAGCAGGGAGTGCTGGGCTCGTGAGATTAAAAGCAGTTTCAGCTGTGAACAAGGAGGACTCAAGAGAAAAGGCTCTCTGTAAATATAAACAATATGTGACGCTTCCTTTCCAAAAACATTTGCCTCAGCTGACCTTGGGACAAATCTCCCTTCTGGTTACAAAGACACGGTCTCAAGGGTAAAGCCTCCAATCATCTCTTCTAGCCAGTAGCTCTTCCTGGCCTGGGATTTGAGTCTTTCTTGTCTTTTTCTAAAGAGCAATGACAGACTTCTCTGATTCAGGAAACTAAAACTGTTCAGAGGAAAAAACTGACTGGCTGAACATGCTGAGCCTTAGCAGGCCTCTCCTTGTGGCAGGTCAGGAACTGGGTGGATCTCTGAAATATATATAGCCTTCATTCCCAAACAAACTCAACATTTATCTAGCTGTCAAAGAAACAATGGTTTTGCAAGGCCTGCTTATCAGGTTTCTGGATTTGCTAAGAGAGCCACTATGAAAAAAAAAAAGGAAAAGAGAAAATCTTCAAACCTAATCTTTCCTGCCTCTCAACTATAATAGTGATTTTTTGAGAAGCTTTCATCTGTATGACAACACAAAGTGTAAAAGGATCTAGGGTTTCAACATCATTGTAAAGCATCCTTAGCCTCCCGGTCTCTATTAAACAGGATTCATTTGAATGACATTGACCTGCCCAAGCAGAGCCATACTGAGAGAACAATTTATAATTGATGGAAAAAGTTTCTGAAGACAAAACAAATATAGTGCCATATTAGTTTCCTTTTAAACATACAGCACTGGGCAGGCATAAGTTTCTGCTCTAAGCATTTCCAAAAAGATATCCTGCCAAAGGCTCTCCACAGATCATTTTGAATGGAGGAGCCTTTTAGCCCTCAGAGACCTCCTCTTTATTTAATTACAGCCATTGCATAAGAGCTGGTTCACAGGAAGAAATGTGGTCTTCACTAAGCTTCAAAGTTTCCTTCCAAACATGCCAACAGAGTGGTCAGAAGTCCTAGGAGGCCAACTTGGCATTGAGCCTCCTCTAAATGATTAAATGGGAAGAAGGTCAATTTTGCTGTCAGCGGACAGCTGGAGAGCTGCAACTGTTTAGAAGCAACGGTGGCAAAAGACAAAGCGGCCAGTCATGACCTTCTCCACCTTGGTGTTTCCTGAAACGATATCCCTCATCTCTGTATATGAAATCATGGGTCACTAGACACACAGCCTGGTGCCAGGAAGAGATAATTAGGTTCATGAATGAAACTGAGAAGCAGTGGTCATGCTCAGAAAGCTGAATAGGGACTTGGTATCTGTTCCACTAGAATAACGAAGAATAACTTACGTTACCTAACAAGAGAATTCAGAGCAGCCCTGTTGGTAAATGGCAAAAGATTAGAAAATATCTAAAATCCAGGAATGGAGAGGCTGTTTATATAAATTATGGTACATGTAACAGAAGATTATTGTATAGTGACAAATCTCTATGTACAGCTAGGAAAAAATCTGTTAAGACATACCGTTCAATGAAAATTTAGGCATAGACTAGTATTTAGCATGCTACCATTTGTGTACAAAAAGGGATACGGCTATTTCTAGTTTATATATGCACAGACTATCTCCAGAAGAATATTCATGACGCTAGTAACGGTGCTTGTCTCTGGGGAAAGGGTTAGGAGGGAGGATGGGAAGGAAAATTACTTTTAACTAGATACTTTCAAGGACTATTTGAATTATTAAAAAACATTCATTCTTCAACCAACAAATAATTATCGAAAACCTTCTAGAGAACAAAGAATAAGATAGACAAGACCTCTGCTCTTAAATTCTGGTGCAGGAACAGGCAGGCAAACATAAATACCAGTGACAATCATCAGATATGAAGACAGGGTGATAGATAACATAGTGAGGAAGCTGGTGGTGTCAGAGCAGATAGTCAAGGAGGGTAAGAAGGTGACCTTTAAGCAGAGATTATTCCCTGGTGGAATAAATGAAATAAATAAACACAAATCATGTTATAACGACAACAACAAAAATCCAATAGTTATAACAAAAGGGAAAACCTAACACCAAAGTCTCAAATAATTCTTAATTTCAAGCAAATGGGTAAATACCAAAAAACCACAGTTCACCTGTAATACTAGGAGTGAAAAAAAAATAGGAGGAATAAAAATGACCTAAGTATTCCTTGAAATTTTTATTTATAAACCAGACTGAATACAACCTGGTCTTTATTCAAACTAAAACACGATAGGTTAACCTTATTCTGAAAAAGAGACAACTAGTCATTAAAAATCTTGGTTCAAGTTCGAGAATCACCTTGCTGATCAATA